GCTGCTTGGGGGTCCCCTTTCCCGGCTCTGGTCCCCAACCACAGCTCCTGTTCCCAACCATGGTCCCCAGCCTCATCCCTGTCCCCAGCCCCATCCTTAGCCCTGGTCCCCATCCCCATCTCCAACCCTGGTTCCCATCCCCAGTTCCCAGTGCCAGTCCCCATCCCCATCTCTGTCCCCAGCCCGTTCATAGCCCTGGTCTCCATTCCCAACCCCATTCCTGGTCTCCATTCCCATCCTTGCTTCCCATCCCCAGTCCTGGTCCCCAATCCGGTTTCCAGTGTCCATTCCCATCCCAATCTTCACCCTGGTTCCCAGCCCTGGTCCTCGTCCCCATCTCCATGCCTGTCCCTGGGTGGCTTCCTACAGGAAGAGCCGTGTCCCAAGGAATGGGGGCTAGTTTCTCCCCGCCCTTGCTGCACAGGGATGGAAATCCAGCAGAATCCGTCTGGACCTTCTTCCTCATGGCACCCGGCCCCAGAGCAGCCGCTGGAAGGAGGCCTGTGGGTGAGCTGCTTCCTGGGAATGCAGAGCGGGTCGAGCCATGCTCAGCTTTTACCTCTGGGATAATAGGATGTCCGTGGATCCCGTGCTGGGAACCCCCTGAGGGGTGTCTGCACCCCTGGAATGGGGTTAGCACTCAAGGAAGGGTGTTTGCACCCAAGGAGGGATGTCACCCCCCAAGGCAGGGATCTCTAGGCAAAGCGGGGGGAGTAGGAGCTGAGGGAGGGATGTCTGCTGCAAAAGGAGGCTGTTTGCACCCCAAGAGGGGTTTTAGCACCCAAGACGGCGTCCAGCACCCAAACCGGCGGTGTCACCACCCAAAATGCCACTAGATGGAGCCGTCTGCCCAAGGATGCCCGGCGGGGGCAGCGCGATCCCCCGCCAAGGATCCCCAACGCAAACTGGGGAGAAGGGGGAGTCCTGGGGGCTGCAGGGGGCCTGGGGAACCCCCACGTTGATGGGGGGCACAGGAGGTCCCTGGAGCAGGGGAGCTCGGGACAGCTATGCCAGGTGCATCTGTAGGGTCAGTGCCTGTGAATGTCACCACGGCAGCCCCCAGGGTGGGAACAAGCTGCTTCGGACCTTTGGATTCGGGAGATCCAAACTGCCGCTCCCTCCTACAACCCTGCGGCAGCTCCCGGGTTTGGGGCTCCAGCACAAGCCAGGCTGGTCAAGGAGTCTCCCAGAGCCAGAGGCACCAGGGCCTCCCAGTGCCAAACTGGTTCTGGACTGAACAGACCTGCTCCCTGTTTGCGTTTGGCTTCCGAGCTGAATTTGCCTTGCTCTGTGTGCAGGTCTTGAACTGGCTTTTCCTGCTGGAGAAACCATCTAAGAGAAGAAACCAGATCCGGTGATGGTCCAGCTGGAGGGACAGCCGGGCTGGGCTCCTCGGGATCTCCCAGCGGCACCTCCAGGACCTTGGGAAAGCTCCCCAGGGAGGTCCTTGCAGAGCCCTGCGCATGCTAAGCAGGATGGGCGACAGGGCTGAGCTCATCCCAGATATTTCTCTATCCCCCCCCTCAATTAATTCTGAAATCTTAAATGACATTTTCTATGCAACAAACAAGCCCATGTCTCAACGTAACCTTTGGGTGATGCTTTGGGTGACTCCTGCCAGAGTCTGGCCTTTATATATACATATAAATATATATAGCCTTTATATATGTATATATATATTTACACATATAATCTTTTTTATTTTGTTTTATTTTATTTTGTTGCGTTATTCTATGTTATCCTGTGTTGTTTAATTTTTTTAAATGCTTAACACCTCCCCAGACCCTCTGTGTTGTTCCGCACCCGCCGTCGCGGGCTCGGCCGGGGCTCGAACTCGCGGCGCGCGG